GCCCAGGTTTTGAAATAAAGTGAGCCCTGTCTTTATTTCTTTCCTTTCCTCGAGAAAACAAAAACATTTATTTTCACTATATTAAATCCATTACCTTATTAATATTTCTTGTGTGCATTAGTTCATTAATATTTCTTGTATACATGAAGTATACACTGGTTTAAGGTCTGTGACCTGCACTGAGTGCTTATCCAACCTAAGTCTTGATCCTAAGTCATTTCTGACAAGAAGTGGCATTTTCCAGTTTACAGAGCTATTATTCAGTTAGGTTCCCAGAATGGTGCAATCATTCTCAGTGACTGGTGGCATTGATCCTAAGAAAATACATTGTGTAACATCCAAAAAACAGACGGGATAACAAACCTTACAAACTGCATGTTTACAGCTCAAAAACTTGTCTTTCAATGTATTACTGACAGAAGGTTTACAAGTTTTGTAATCACAGTGCGTCATTGCAAGTGGAAAGATTTGAATGTGAACATCAAAATATGACTAAATAAAAACCAAAAGATCTGCAGATGCTGGAAATCAGAAACCAAAACAGAAATTAATGGAAAAGCTCAGCAGGTCTGGCAGCATCTGTGAAGAGAAAACAGAGTTAACGTTTCGGGTCCGGTGACCCTTCCTCAGAACTGATGGGGGGCAAGGGTAAGGACTAAATGACAGGTGGAGACAGACCCCAAAGAGAGAGAACAGCTATACAGGCAAAGGAGTGGATAACGATTAGCTTTGGAGAATGAATAGCTACTAATGGGTACAATTAGTGGCTAACAGGGATTATGTGTAATAGCAGACCACGTGATAATAAGGCCTGGTGTGTGGGGGTTGGGTAAGGACACGGGAAGAGCTCAAGTCCTAAAATTGTTGAAATCGATATTGTGTCCAGAAGGCTGTAGAATTCCCAAGTGGAAAATGAAGTGCTGTTCTTTCAGTTTTTGCTCAGCTTCACTGGAACACTGCAGCAAGCCTGAGACAGAAATGTTGGCCAGGGAGCAAGGTGGTGTGTTGAAGTTGCAGGCAACTGGAAGCCCAGGGTCTTTTCTGCAGACAGAACATAGGTGTTCATCAAGGCACTCACCAAGTCAACACTTTGTTTCCCAATGTAGAGGAGACCACATTGTGATCAGCGAATGCAGTAGATTAGATTGTGTGAAGTGCAGGCAAAGCATTGTTTCAACTGGAAGGTGTTTTTGGGCCCTTGGATAGCGAGGAGGGAGGAAGTAAACGGACAGGTGTTACACCTTCTGTGGTTGCAGGGGAATGTACTGTGGACTGTGGGGAGCGAAAGAAAAGTGGACCAGGGTCTCGCAGAGGAACGGTTACCTGTGGAAGACTGCCAGGGGATGGAAGGGGAATATATGTCTGGTGGTGGCACTTGGCTGGAAGTGGCAGAAATGGCGGCTAATGATTCTCTGGATGTGGACGCTGGTAGGATGGTAGGTAAAGACAAGGGGGACACTATTGCTGTTGTGAGAGGGAAGAGAGGAGGTGAGGGCTGAAGTGCAGGTAATGCCTATACCTATATGCTCCTTAAGAACCAACAAGATAACAGCAGTAAATGTTACAGAAACAATAATAAGTGCAATATGTTTTATTAATGAATCACGTAACAAGCCAGTTACAGAGAGCATGCAAACCTCACAGTTCAAATACAGTATTATCCATATCCAGCTAAGTTGATCAGTCTTGGACTAATTGATTTTGTCACTGAATCTCTGACGCAGGATTGCTTGTTCAAGCGTTGGTCCCTGAGGTTGTTGCTTGTGATCATCCCGAAAATCCAATCTTTATACCCTTATCTACATGACTTATCTTGTGTCCTCTCTCCAAAATGACCCCACTCCCTCTTGTGTGGCTAGAATTAGAAGCTATAAATCACTTTGGGAGGAGCTGGTTGAGATATTGCATAGGCTAGCAGCTGTTTAAAAAGGTTGACATTAAAAACGTTACCTGTACTCAAAAGTTGATAAATTGTCAGAACTGAATGGCACACATCCAAGGATTCTGAGGGAAAGGCAAAAATTAGACACTGAATTGTGGGCCACGCAGACATATGAAGAAATCCTAGGAGGCTGGTAATATCATGTCCACATATTGCACTTCTGATTACCTATTGATGCTGAAGTTAGTGTTATGATGTTATCATGTTATTCTATCAGATATAACCTAAGATGATTTCAATCAGACTGGCTCCTTAGTGTTTTGGTCATTCCTTTTCTTTAATTTCTAGATTGTTTCGTGCAGGGTTCTTCAACACTTAATCAACCTGGAAACATAGCAACTAGAAATACATACCGAGTAATTGACAATCAGCTGTTTGTACTATTGAACATTCATTAGTCCTGGCCGCAATTTAGATGAACAGGAAGCACCGCATAATTCAACTGTTTGACACAACTGCGGAATGAGAAATTCCTGGAGCTGCATATATCCACTTATGTTGAAATGACGTTTTGATTCTCACATTACTAAATGGAGGCACTTAAAGATGCCTGTATTCACCACATCGATCCACTAGAAGTTAATTGAATAGGTGCAATCGGTGATAACTAACGGCTGCCACCACAGGTGCAGCGTTTTCGTTTTTAGCTTTGAATCTTGCCTGTTGCAGTGTCACATAAAGCACAGATTCAAGAGTTTGGAAAGAACCATTGAGTACCTAATTGACTGAGTGTCAAAAAAACGTGGAGCTAGACAAGCAATTAAGGTCAGACAGCATCCGAGGCGCAGGGAGGTCAACGTTTCGAGTCGGAATCCTTCTTCAGGTCCTGAGTTTTAATTTAATACAGTATTGTGTAGTATTTTCTCCCCCCAGAGGAACTGGTTTCTTCATTTTGTCATACAAAATCATGTTAATGTTTTAAACACCTGAAGCAAATTACCCCTCAATCTTCTCTACTCAAGGGAATACAAAGTCAAGTTTATACAACCTATCTTCATAAGCTAACTCTTGTTACATTATCATTTTGGTGAGTCTGCACACCGTTAACCACCATGATGGCCAATATTGGCAGGTGACTAAAAGCTTTATATGTAAATATAACCTTCTGAGCTACATCGCTCAAAACTACTTCTGATGGAATTTGACCAAATCACTGTACGAGTGTAAACATAGAAGTGTAGAATGACACCGTATGAATGAGGACCATTCGATCCATCATGCTGTTTGACAGAGCTACCTAATTAGTCCTTACTCTTTCCCATGGTCCAACTTTATTTTCTGCAATTCCTGTGAAACAGCTTGGGACGTTTCGAGGCATTGAAACTATCTATATATAAAAAGGAAAACACGGAAATATTTTCTCCTTATTCATTTTCTCAAAACTCTCATGATTTTAAACAATGAAATCTATTTACATAACGGATTAAACATAATAACATTTTCTGATTTGATTTAAAGAAGCATTATAAGAAATATGACAGAGCCTCATAGCGGGATACTGGGTGACCAAAAGCTTGTTTAAAAGTGTACCTTAAATTAGGAGATCATAGAATCATACAGTTCAGAAAAGGTCCTTCAGCCCATCGAGTCTGCATCAACAAAAATAAATCTACACTAAGAGATTGTAGGAACTGCCGATCCTGGAGTATCTGAGATAACAAGGTGTACAGCTGGTTGAACACAGCAGGCCAAGCAGCATCAGAGGAGCAGGAAGAAGGGTCCAGACCTGAAACATCAGCTTTCCTGCTCTTCTGATGCTGCTTGGCCTGCTGTGTTCATCCAGTTCTACACCTTGTTATCTTTAAATCTACACTAAGCCCACTTTCCAGAACTTGGCCCATTGCCTGGAATGCTATGACATTCCAAGTGGTCATCTAAGTGCTTTATAAAGGTGTGAAGTTTCCTGCCTCAGCTACCCTTCCAGAAAGTGCATTTCAAATACTCACCGCTCTCTGGGTAAAATAAATCTTCAAATTCCCTCTAAAACGTCTGCCTTTCACCTTAAAATTATGCCACTTATAACTGACCCTTCAACTAAGTCGAACAGACTACTTTCCATCCACCCTATCCATGGCCCTCATAATCACGTACAACTCAATCAGGTCCCCTCTCAGCCCTCTCTGCTCTAAAGGTGGCAGAGAGTGAGGTGGAAAGATGAAAAAGTTTACAGAGGGTATTCTAGGGCTTAGGGATTCAGGCAGTTAAAGGTAAAGAATAAAATCAGGGATGCTCAATGAGTCAGAATTTGTACAGATATCTCAAAATGTTGAACAAAAACAGAAGTTGCTGGAAAAGCTCAGCAGGTCTGGCAGCATCTGTGAAGAAAAAAAAAATCAGATTTAACGTTTTGAGTCCAGTGACCCTCCCTCGGACCTGAAACGTTAATTCTGATTTTTCCTTCACAGATGCTGCCAGACTTGCTGAGCTTTTCCAGCAACTTCTGTTTTTGCTCCTGATTTACAACATCCGTAGTTCTTTTAGCTTTTATCTCAAAATGTTGTTAGGGCTGGAGGTATTACAGGGATAGGGAGGGAAACTTCTGCTCTCTTCTGCACCATTTACATATAAAGCTTTTAGTCACCTGCCAACACCTGTGACTGAAAGTCATCTCCGTGAAGTGCCTTGGGACATTTTGCTATATTAAAAGATGCAAGATATCGTTGCTTGCTGCCCTTCTTTAATGTAAATTGTAAACTTGGATATACAAACTAATTTATTCAGTTAGCGATAAATGTAGTGAAAAGTTGAAGCCCCAACAGAGGTCCATGGTGGTTGCCATTTGCCATGTCCCATCAGGAAGAATAACCGCGCCCTCATCCCTTCTGTTTTTTATAATGGAACCAATTTAGGTTAGGTGGGTTAGACATGGGGAAATGCAGGGGTAGGGGAATGAGTCAGGGTAGGGCAGTGTGGACTTGTTGGGCCGAATGGCCTGTTCCCACACTGTTGGGATTCTATGATTCAATTTGTAATGCATGTCATAAGGCTCCATCAAGTTTTGTGCACTTTTAATTTTTCTCTTCTCTTTGATGAGGAAAATAAAATCCAGAGGCATTTATTGTAAGTTTTACATAACGTTTAATGACAGCAATACAGATCGTTAAGTACTAGCATTTAATATACAAGCAGAGATACACGGAACAAGGAAAGGCTTCGAAACAAAGAAAATAAAACACATTTCCCCTGCACAAGATAACATTAAAAAACATTACAAACAATTTTGAGGGGAAATTGTTCAGCATTACACCTTTTTAATATTTTTTCCAGGTTTCTTTTGCTGTATAAAACAAGACAATGTGCATCTTATATTTGTACTGTCTCTCTACAGATTTACAGCCAAGTAGAAAATCAGGTCAAGCAGCCAAGAATTCTCTCTCCACCTCACTCTCTCTGTTCAAATAGGTACCAGGGGTTAGATGTGGCAGGTAAAGTTCATTCAGGCAAAACTTCAACTTCAAAAACAAATTTTTAAAAAGGTACTATTACAGATATACATGATCCAGAAACTGTATTCCCTTTTAAGAGGTGGGGATGAGGAGTAGGGGCAAGTCTGATTGACAGTGCTTACTGTCAAGAGTTTGTGCATGCATACTGTGCTTGTTGACTGTCTACATCAATACATGGTTCAGTTAAGCCTTTCCAAGGTCATTAACACAATCCAACAGCACAGGATTGACTTATTTATTGATTCTGATGTGTCAGTGGCAACCAGTAGTTCTGTACGTATTTTTAAAGTCTTTGCAGCAATCTCTAAATTTTGAATCTATGAGCCAGTTATTTCACCAAATGTACATTTTATCTCCTTCATATACCCTGACTAAAAACAAATATTGGGTAAATTGTTAAGCCATAGGTTTTCTGCATCTGAAAGATGACCTTTTGCCAATTCCTTTCCTAAAGCCAAGGACACTGGGCCCTCAACTGAATTATGCCCTAACTAAAATCAGCTAACTTAGCAGAGTGGGCAAGCAAAGTTCAAAATCCTTGTGAGGCACAATGTCACAGCTTAATGATTCTTTTATTAAACATTCCAGAGTGTCTCCCAGCACAAAATCTCACCCTCTTCTGGCCCCAGCCACCTTGGTACCATTCATAGAATCAGCCCCACCATGCATTTACAAACTCTGTAGCAGGATTCATCTCCATGACACCTCCAACTGAAGCTAGCAAAGTAACAGCACTGACATCAATCAACTGGATCACAGTGCTAGGATTCAAAAATGGTTCTAACCTGTCCCACTTGAATGCATTTTTATCAGGCTACAGAAAGAAAAGACACCAGAAACACCCATGGATCTGTCAGTGTCTGTAAAGAGAAATTGCAGGTCAATGTTTTGGGTGTGGACCCCTTTTTACAATCGAATACCACTCCATGCCAAAAACTGCAATCTGGATATCCAAAATGTAGTCTGTCCTACAACTCTTGTTTTTAAATCTGATTTTCAAATGTATTATTTATTTGAATCCTACTGAAAAGAGATACTTTGCCTAAGCTTTTTGTCTTGCATTCATCTCTCTTTCCAGTATATTCCAGATCTGTACCACCAAGTGACTATTTTTTTGTTATTTTGAACTAATACTCAGAAATCCACTAGGTAGAGATACATTTGTCCGATACAGACCTTCAGACTCTACAACCATTCGGACTTAAGTTTCCTACATTTCCATAGTGATTAAACTTCAAAAGTACTTACAGTAATTGGCTGTAAAACTCTTTGGGACATCCTGAGGTTGTGAAAGGCGCTATATAAATGCAAGTTCTTTTTATTAAAAATTGAAGTGCAGGCTAGAGTCAAGGCTGAGCAATCTCCCCAAGAGTGTGTAAAAGTACTGCACTCTACAGAGTAGCACTTTGGAATCTCAGATCTCAGTTCACAGGATCCATAACCACTAGATTCACTAGAGGTTCTAGACTCTAGCTCACAGGACCCAAAACACTGGATTCACTGTCCCAGTTGACTCAGGTCAAGAACTTGTGTGATCCTTAACCAGTTTCACAACGCACATCAAAAAGAGAACTAGTTTGTTGTGTTAGTTAAAGAGCAGATTTGGAAATATCTGCACTCCAAATCATGAGAGGCATCCTGTTTTAAAATAAAACTTGACAAGATACCTACCTCATGGACAATAACGTCTAAGCACGGCCAGAGACCAACAATTGAAACTACAAATCTGTTACGTATTGAAATCTGAAACATCAGAAAGCAGCAGAGGATCTGTCAGCATCAGTCAGAACTTGGAGGGGTCTCCAACACCTCATTTAAATGGCTAGTCTTCACATACGTGCTAAGACAGTGAGTGGTAGCAGAGTATTTAACAAAGGGAGTTATCACAGCCAAGACTGATTCTGTCCTCATATTATACCCAGACATGTATATATTTTCCAGTGTTAATCACTGAATACCAGTCATGACCAGGTGTTTTTGCCCCTCCAGCCCAAGGGTGCTGAGCCCAAGTGTAGCACCCATGGTATTGCCCTGAGCAAGATGCCAAATTCAGTTTGGTTCAGGAGCAACACACCTGGGATCTGCCTGATCTACAGAACGTATCTATTCATTGAACCAACTTTCTGAAGGTCTGGAGAGAATCATCACAATTTTTATGAATACTTTACTAACAAATAAGCTTAAATGTTTTTTTGAATACCATGCAATAAAATCACCAATATCCTTTGAAAGAATATACAAGCCATGGAGTCCATCGCTGCTATAAAAATGCAGGGGTTTGGTGGATTCAGATGCATATCACTGTAGACTTCTATCTTGATAACTTACTCTAAGGAGGTTATGTGAGGATGTGGTTTCTAGAAGTCTTATTAAGAAACAGAAAATCTGGATACCAAGAATCAACACCCCCTCCCGTATCCACAGTGTTTACCCAATTCTCACTTATCACTTACAGTCCCATTGGCACAAATTGCCTATCCAGGTGTTCCATTCTTCACGAAATCTAAGAGTACGTGGCTATGTGCTGTTCAACTACATTGGGCATCACAGTCCCATCTTCACCCAACAACCATGCAATGGTATCATTTCTATGTCACCAGATAGTGAACATACAGATGAGTGGGGTCCCTAACTGAGGCCAATTGTAGCAACCCATCCCCACTCAATATTCTCTGCTGAAATCAGTTATCACAGCACAGTCCAGGAGACCAAATTTCAGAAAGTCCTGGTCCGTATAGCCCAGTACTGCACAGGTGGCCCATTTGCCTACTGTGCCATCTGTGGAAGTTTCTAGAACAGCAATTTCTTTTCCTGTCCAAAGCCAAAATGACAGAACGCTCAGCAGAAGAGAGGAGCTAGAATTGGGGCAGGTTTCAAATCTCCTCAGCAACAAGCTGTTTATTAACACTTTTTTTTCAAAGAGACAGAGTTAAAATGAAAATACTTTGTAGTAGCTAAAAAAAACTATAGAAGCAGGTATTATATCCAATAATTAGTGATAGATTGGGAAGGAGAGATCAGTGATTGATGCTTGCATCATTGGTGGCACAAGTCGGTTGCACAGTGACAAACCAGCCCCCGGTACCTCCACTTGTTTTTTGACTTTGAAAGGTAGATTTATTTTGGGTTTTGGAACGGCACTGACTGTTTTGTACATCTTTACTGTGAGGCCTGTGATGTTGGGTTCTCCGACTTGCTCTCTTGGCTCGATGGAGGCTTACTGTTCCAGGGGCTGTTGGCTCCCAGCGCAGGGGAGTTGTTGAAGCTGTCCTCGTCGTCTATGCCATTGGTCGCATCATACTGTGTATTCTCCAAACGTGTGATAAGCCGCTCGTCCTCATCGCCAAACTCGCCCCCCATCAGGGTGGGCTCACCCACCACCATCACGTCCTGTAACAGGGAGGTGACCTCAGCTCATTTAAAGAACAATTCGCAACAGGATAGACAAACAGATCCATACAAACACGCACATGCACAGAAACACCTGAACACAACAATGACTTGCATTTATATAGCGCCTTTAACATAGTAAAAACATTCCAAGGTGCTTCACAGGAGGGCAAAGCAAGAAAAAAAAGACACCAAGCCAAATAAGGCAGCAGTGGATAATTGGCCAAATACTTTGTCAAACGAATAGATTTTAGTGAGAAGAATCTTGTAGGAAAGAGAGGTAGAGACGGGAGCTTGAGGAAGGAATTCCAAACACTCTTGGAAATCTACTCTTTTGAATAAGACTTGTGTCACCCGTCCAAGTATTTATATTTTGCGGTGCCAGTGTTGGACTGGGTGGACAGAATCAGAAGTCACACAAAACCGGGTTATGGTGTTAGAATATAACCAGGTGTCGTGTGACTTATGACTTTGTCCAAGTATTTATTGTGTGGCTTTTGTCCTTTATGCACTTGTGATGGCCTTTTAGATGTGGAGGAGGAGAGTTTTAGGGAGGAAGTTCCCCAACAGCTAAAGGCATCCCTGCCAATGATGAGGCAGTAAAAATCAGGGAAGCACATGACACCAGAACTGGGGAACGCAGAGATCTGGGAGGGTTGTATGGTTGAGTTAGTGAAAGGCGAGACTATGGAAAGATTTGAACACAAGAATGAGAATTTTAAATTCGAAGCATACGGGTGTGAACAACAAAAAGCACACAATCAAATTTAATCCGCACACAGAACTCCAGACATACACCTAGATGTACTTACAACAGAGAATTATCTTGCCTATGGTTTTCACATGAGTCTACAGTAGACCACAGTGTTGGAACTCATGTGCCAATTTGTTAGTGTGTTCTACCCACCACTGACATCCATTTCCCTCATTGCCCTCATGATCTACAGCCCCATCTTTCACACTCCCATACACAGAACATTTTGTCAAGAGAAAAGGTAGACAACCCAAGTCTCAGCTGGTACCACCCTATAATTAGCTTGAGATAGGACCATTCCTTCCTTCTCCCAAATAGAACTTCCAATTCACTTCAGCAAATCCAGATGGTCAGAAACTTAACCATTGGGTGAAGTTTGGAGAAGTTCAATAACCAATGTATCTGATAAGACAACTCTTCTCTATTTATTATTTGCCCTCCCCATCACTTAAATTCCCATCCACCCCTCCAGCTCTTGAAGATATGACTTACTGACTGTGAATCTGGGGTGCATGGTCCCACCATCTAGCCCTTGGGTGAGGTACCTGAGTGGTCATCCCAGACCAGGCAGTACCAGTGGTAAATAGCTTAGAGTTCAAAGCTGACACTTCATAGAAAGAGTGAAACAAAGTGACAACAACAACATAAAATCCAAAGAAAATCTCCCAGAAAAAGTGGAAAATCTGCTCATTTCCTGTCCTTGTACGGTTCAGTGTGTGAAGGGCAAAGAAACGTGGATGCTTACAGGTACCTGACTGGACAGCGCAAAGCTACTAGCCGGACTCTTCTTTTTGCTGTTGCTGTTGGCATTAGAATTGGGGCCACTGCTGATGGTGCTGCCCCCTGACATTTTCCTTTTCCTGCGTTTGCTTGGTGCCTGCCTGGCTGGTTCAGCTGCCAAAACAAGCAATCAATATCAATTAGTAATGATTATAATAATTATTATATAGTATTATATTATGATATAGTAATAATAATTATAATTAGTAATTTTACCAAAACTCCTTAAACCTGCTTAAGAGGTATTTTTATCTCAACTCAAAGCCCCTACAGTCAATTTTCATTGGTCTGTTGTTTAGGGAAATGGAGCCCAATCACTTACTGCCAGGGTCTAGCTCCATCACATTATTCCCTGTCAGTAACAATTTTCTATTTCTGCATCAGCTGTCCTGGTGCTACCTTGAAAACCCACAGTCTTCTAGTCTGCCTTGCTTAAAAAGTTGTACGAAACGGATGTGTGTCTATTCACTTAAGCTGATCGAAATAAATGGTTTACTCCTCATTGTTTTTTTTTGGACACTCGTTTCCAGAAAGGATTGTCTTATTCCATTACCCTGGTGTATGTCATCACAAAGCCTGTTCAATTACTGTTAGTCATGTGAATGCCGATGATTAATGTTGCTCAGCTTCAGGCATTTACACACAGTATCCACAGGCATATTTGTCCAGCAAGGCAAGAAATTGCTTTTTCTCCTCTCCCTCTTCCAAAGAATCATACATCAGTCTAAATATAAACTCATCAAGAACTGATCTGAACATCTTTGTAGTCTCAAGTTACTCATAGAAGTATTGGGGAACACAAGTACTGGTCTTTATACTATGTGGTGGGCATTCCCTTATGCCTGTTAACAGGTTTGAAGCTAACCCAAAACTGGCCTTCGAGCCTCATTACCACGATTTAGGGAGACTGTCAGCGCCTCCACATGCATCTCATCTATTTTGAAAACATGAATGCCAGAATCCTTGTCTTCTCAGTAATTGTAAGTCAAGGAAGGATTGCCCAATACTTTCTTTATATGGTCAGACCCAATCTTGGAAAGGTCATCTGGGTGCAGGGGATTGATTACTAATGTGGTCCCTTGTTACACCCTCTAAACAAGAGCAACTAACTTCCTCATGGGAGTGTTTTCGTAAATGGATAGTCATTATTCTTCTCATTTTCTTCCGCTATTGGCAGATATGTAGTAATGAAAGAATAATAAAGTCTCTCATGTACTTACCAGGGGGAGCAACCATCCGCTGCCACTTTTGGAACAAGCATGTCTTGAGGCAATCCCTTGGGCTTAAGCTGTAGGTTTTATGCCTGGACATTAACTCCTGCATTGGCTCTAAAATAACACAGAGCTGCCAGAGGGAGGAAGGGGGTGCAATGGGAAGCATGATGAGGAAAGAATGAATTTGTACCAGAAGGAGAATAAGGGTTTAATGAGTAAGAAGCAGAATGAGATAGGAGACAAAGAGGAGAAGAATATTATGTTATGCACCTTGATGCTCATAAGATTGTACTTAACATTGATATTCTATCATTGGGATGTTTCAGCTCTTTCAGGACATTGTGAATCATCATCTCAGAGTTGTCCATGCCTTAGTAGGATAAAAATTTGTTCTGTTCTGTATAACACAAGACCAGCTTGGATCTATTCTGAGTCTAAACAAGGCTCACCCAAAGTTGTCCTCAGAGCTCCATTTTAGTTGGAGGTGAACTGCCAAAGTCATTCTACCTCCAGAAGCAGCTGATGCCAGTGGTCAGGTAGAGAGGGCTCACATTCAATCACCCTCTGGCAAGATGGAGAAGGAGAATATAAAGAGGGACGATTTCAGGCAGCAGTTCTCAGGAGTACTGTGGAGCTAGAATCACGACTCATTCCGAGTTCATAGAGGAAAGCCTGGTGTAAGATGCACCAATGCCTTTGAAACCTGCAAGTATCAGACCAAGATCCTGATGCTGTCAGCACTGGTGAATACAGAGGTGTCCTTAAAGAAAGATTCAGCCCCTCATTAGTATATGCAATGGACCTACACCTCTTTAGAGCCCTAAAACTATCTGACGCGAGTATTACTTTCAGGCATCCATGAACTTAGAGCATCTCCAGGTTTTACACCCAGGAAGGAAGACAAACAAAGATCAAACTTTACGCAAAGGCAAATCAGGAAGAATTTAAACCCAACGACGCATTCCCTTACTTTACATGGTGCAAAGTTTATTCCAAAATTCTTTCTTCATGTGAACATAATCATTCACAAACCTCCTATCTATCCATTAAGATTCTGAACCAGCTGTGCTGGCAACCAAATTCCTAATAATGCATCTCCTACATTCATTGCTTCATGCCCAATTAAACGGGAAAGAGTGCCTGCAAAGATATCAATGTTTGAATACACATATGAACAGATTCAACAACAGCTTCTTCCCTGCTGTTATCAGACTTTTGAACAGACATCTTAAATGTTAATTCTGATCTCTCTCTCTGCACCTTCTCTGCAGCTGTAACACTGTATTCTGCATGCTGTTCTGCTACCCTGATGCACTTTGTATGGTACAATCTGCCTGTATGTCACACAAAACAACATTCTTCATGGTATCTCAGTACATGTGACAACAATAAATCAAACTCAAACTCACCCAGAATTCTCACCACTCAATCTGGAATAGGTTGAAATCTTTAAAGTTTGGGCAAAGATGATGCTGTTGACATGCTCGCCGAGCTGGCTTGTTGTTGTTCAGACGTTTCATTACCATGCCAGGGGAATAAATTCCAAGCAGAGAAGAATAACATCGCTTCATCAGAGGCTCCATTAATGATGTCACCTAGCTCGGTGACAAAACGTCTGAACAAAAACAAGCCAGCTCGACGAGCAAGTCAACAACCTTACATTGAAATATTGAAATCATTACTGCATTTTACTGAGTCAAACATGACCATGTGTTCCAGAAATCTCAAACTGCCAGTGATATCCACACCCAGAGATGATGAAATAAAATATAGTATGACTATGATTATCCAGGATATAAATGCTGTCATGTCCCAAGAACAAATTAAAACAAATTGATAATCAGACTTTGAACACAGGAATCAACATTTTAATTTTTTTACCCTGACACCTTGGAAGTCATATATAAAACCTAAATAATCTTTCTTTTTAATAGCATAAATTTCTAATTGCTGATAGTAACAGACTTTGATTTCTGATTTTTTGTAATGTTATGAAGAGCCCTGTTTACGTAAGATATTGAGTGTTACATGGAAAGAAACCATCACTGATGAAGAAGTGCTAAGAGGACTGATCAAAATGCCCGCAGGACATTGTGATAGAGATAAGCGAGACTGGCAGCACATGTTCTTGGCCTCCAGGATGTATGTTGTGCCAGAACGGCAGTAGAATGGACACCACCAGCTGGCAGGGCAGGCCAAAGATCTGGTAAAGTAAATTTAAGGATGACCTTTGAGTGCAGAACACCATTCAAGCTGCAGTGAGAAACTGCAATGGACTAGGTTTGGTGGTACAGTATTACTGCTCACTGTCCGACATGTGATGTCGGTCACAAGTAACTAGCTAGCTCAGCTACATCTACTCAGAGATACATCAGCCATTTTTCATCATCACTGAGTCAAATTCCTAGCACTCCCTCACAGCATTATGGAGTAACTACACTACATGTGCTGCAGTGGTTTACAAAGTGGTTCAGGTCATGCCCTCACCCTAAGAATGAACTTTTTAAATCATGTATCATCGCCTATGGGGGAGGCAATGGCCTACTGGTTTTATTGCTGGACTGTTAATCCAGAGACCCAGATAACATTCTGGGGACCCGGGTTCGAATCCTGCCATGGCAGATGGTGGAATTTGAATTCTATAAAATATGTGGAATTAAGAATCTAATGATGACCATGATCCATTGTCAATTGTTGGGAAAAAAACCCATCCGGTTCACTAATGTCCTTTAGGGAAGGAAACTGCCATCCTTACCCTGGTCTGGCCTACGTGTGACTCCAGACCCACATCAATGTGGTTGACTCTGAACTGCGCTCTGGGCAATAAATGCTGCCTAGCCAGTGACGCCCTCATCCCATTAATGAATATTAAAAAAATGTATTATGAGGCTACAGTTGCCTGGAATTGAAGTCCAATTTCTCAGCAGGACAGTTTGTTTCATTTTAAAACATAATAATGAAATAGTATTGTAATCACTTCTTCCTGGTGCCACACCACAGAATAACCAGATTTACGAAATTCAGTTTCATAATATTTCCGTGGTGATGTCAGCTTATAAAAGTTCAGTCCCAAAGACACACTACACAACCCAACAAGTACTCAATCAGCCCATTCTAAACTTCCAGAAGCTCAGACTCAAACAAACAATAAGTATATGTAAATATGGGATTGAGCTGTCTGGGTGTTGGGGACGAAGGGTCAGGGACTACAATTTGGCAACCCTTGATGTAGGATGTCACAGTTTGCATAGCACTCCCATAGTCCCTAGGCACACGCTCAGATCCTGTGTGGATCAGTTGGTGGGAGTATTCACAGACATCTTTAACCTCCCCCTACTATGATCTGAAGTCCTCACCTGCTTCAAAAAGACCACCATCATACCAGTGCCAAAGAAAAATCATGCAACGTGCCTCGAAGACTACTGCCCGGTGGCTCTGACCTCCATAATTATGAAGTGATTTGAGAGGTTAGTCTTGGCTCACATCAATTCCAACCTACCAGACTGCGTTGATCCAGAGCAATTTGCCTGCTGTCACAACAAGTCCACATCAGACACCATCTCCCTGGCCCTACACTCATCCCTGGAACCTCTAGATAACAAGGATACCTACATCAGACTCCTACGTATTGACTACAGCTCTGCCTTCAACACCATAATTCCAAGCTAACTCATCTGTAAACTCGAAGACGTAAGTCTTGGCTTCCCTCTCTGTACCTGGATCCTCGACTTCCTGACCCATTGACCGCAATCAACCTACTCCATGATAATCCTCAACACTGATGCCCTGCAAGGTTGCATACTCAGCCCCCTACTATACACCTTATACACTCATGACTGTGTGGCCAAATTCCACCAATGCCATTTACAAGTTTGCTGACTACACCACTGTTGTAGGTCGGATCTCAAAACAATGATGAGACAGGAAAAAGATTGAGTGTTTAGCAGCATGGTGTAAAGACAACAATCTCTCCATCAACGTCAGCTAAACGAAGGAGCTAGGCATTGATTTCAGACAGCAGAATGGAGGCCACATACTTGTCTGCATCAATGATACTGATTTGGAGATGGTCGAGAGTGTCAAGTTCCTGGAGCGGTGATCATCAACAATCTGTCCTGGTCCACCCATTTTGAGGCAATGGTCAAGAAAGCACAACAATGTCTCTACTTCTTCAGGAGGCTAAGAAAATTTGGCATGGCCACAAAGACACTTATCAGTTTTTACAGCTGCACCATGGACAGCATCCTATCTGGATGAATCACAGTGTGGCATGGCAACTGCCCTTCCCAAGACGCAAGGAGGTATAGAGAACTAAGCCAAGTCCCATCACGCAAACCAGCTTTCCATCCACTGATGCCATCTATACTTCCTGCTGGCTCAGGAAAGGAACTAGCAAATCAAAGACCCCTCCCACCCTGGTCATACTCTCTTCCATGATCTCCTGTTGGGTAGAAGATATAAAAGTTTCACTACACGTACAAATAGATTCAAGAACAGCTTTCGCTGCTGTTAGCAGACTTTGAAAGGACCTCTCAAATGTCAATGTTCATCTCTCTCTCTCTCTCTGCACCTTCTTTTGCAGCTGTAACACTGCATTCTGCACTCTCTTCTGCTACTCTGATGTACTTTGTACGGTAAGATCTGCCTGTATAGCACACAAAACAACATTTTTCACTGTAGCTCGGTACGTGTGACAACAACAAATCAAATTCAAACTCATATTTTTCAACGTACTAAAAATCAGCTATTCTGTTAAAAAGAAAACAAAGGCTAGGACTGTTTAATTTGACACAATAAAGCCATTATGAAACAGCTTTCCTTGGTGGAGACATTGGGAGAAGGGCACTGGATTTGAGCAGTGTCTGAGGACCACTTGAGGAAATCAAAGGACTTGTTTCTTTGGGCATGTATTTGCTATATCGATAATCAGTAGCTAGTTCCTACAATGGTGTTCTAATAGCTAGTATGCTCCATACTTGAAGCAAGGCTATTTTGAAGAAGTGCTCAGAAATCCGGCAAAAACGACGAACTACTGCTGGGAAATCCACCGTCATAGAGAATAAATATATTCTGCTAGAAGTAGAAATTTTCTTTCAATTTCAGTTTTCCAAGGGATGTGTAGGATAAGGACTGATGTGTTACCAAGAGACTGTGATGCCTTGTTTCTTCCTACTGGATTTTTAAACTAGAATGCTTTACTTTAAAGTGCCCTTACTCGGAGGTAGTTGAGAGTAGAGTTGGACAGGCCACATCTTGTGATGTTCTTTGACAACTGATCCAGCATCTGTGGGTCCTGGGACTGTGAAGAAAAAAAAATGGAATAAGGATCAATTAACAGGTTGGTGAGGATCAGCTTATTAATGTCAACACTCGGGTTCTCCTGATTACGATAAATTCAAAGCATGGCTTTGGTGGGGAGGTTAGAGAGTTATGGAGATATACAGCTTGGAACCAGACCCTTCGGTCCAACTCATCCATGCCGACCAGATATCCTAAATTGATCTAGTCCTACTTGCCAGCATTTGGTCCATATTCCTCTGAACCCTTGCTATTGTTGCAAAGTTGGGTAGAGTGCTTGTGGATTAAGAGGCAGGAAGTTAGAATTTGGTGTTTGTAAAATGCTAAGGTGCGGGGAAGCATTGTGTGATCCCTTTAAAGGATGATATGCTTTTTCAATGCTTTGAGACATAAAATGGATGCCTGTGAGTAGTTGAAAGTTTGCAAGTATACAGAGAGTACCAGAATTGAAACATTTGTATCTAAAGGCAGTACTATTAGCAGGCCAAGCAGCAGTTCTGTTTTGTTACCAAAATAATAAGTTTGAATTTAACTAATCAATTTGAATCAGGCACTTAGATATTAAAAACCAATTAAATTTAAATCTGATGGTTTTGACAATCTAGAACCAATCCTATTGTAAGAAAATGATATGTCATCAAGGGTACAAAAGGAGAGGGGAGTTGGACAAAGAAAGGAGAGCTAATTGCCACCTGTCGAGTCAAAAGCTAGCAAGAGAGAATCGCTGTCTCTCACAGTTTTCTCTAAGTCTTACAGAAAGCATCATCTAAAGAACAAAGGTACCAACAGCACGAATACTTAATATTCCTGACAGGAGGATCGACCAGAAGGCATTGCTGCAGCTGGTTCGACAGAGAAGGCACAGAGCATTCCAGGAGACATGTAACCTGGCTGTAATTGAGAGACTAAATTCTATTTTTTTATTTTTATATAAGCTGGACCTGTATCTATTGGAACAGCATACCATTAGAATCTTGTTTTATTCGGGAATAGTTAGAAGCTAGAAGGGGTTTATTTGGCTTGTTAATAGTTTAGTTAATTTGTTCACTGTTAAAATTAGATAAATTATTTGTTAGTTGTTGATTAGTTGGTGAGCATCAAAGATTTATTTAACCATGAGAAATTGCTGAAGAGCAGGTTACACCACTTTTGACACTCCTTTTACAGATTATAGGGCAAGGTGTTCCTCTTTAGGTGTTTCAGTATTAGTTCTCAAGGGTGGAGTCAACCTTTGCTCTTATAACACTATTCATACACCCATTCACATGCCTTTTAAATGTGTAATTGTACCAGCCTCCACCACCTCCTTTGGCAGCTCATTCCATACATGCACCACCTTCTGCATGAAAAAGTTGTTCCTTAGGTCCCTCTTAAATCTTCCCCCCCACCACCCCACAACCGTCAACTTAAACCCAGGCCCTCTAGTTTTGAACTCCCCTACCCTGTGAAAAAAGACCTTGGCTATTCATTCTATCCATGCTCCACAAGATTTTATAAACTTCTATACGGTCACCCCTCAGCCTTTGACACTCCAAGGAAAATAGCCCCAGCGTTTTCAGCCTCTCCCTACAACTCAACCCTGGCAACATCCTTGTAAATCTTTTCTGAAGCCTTTCAAGTTTCACGATATCCCTCCTATAGCAGGGAAACCGGAATGGAATGGAGTATTCCAAAAGTGGCCTCACCAATGTCCTGTACAGCTGCAATATGACCTCCCAACTCCTACACTCAATGCACTGATCAATAAAGGCAAGTGTACCAAATGCCTTCTTCACCACCCTGCCTGTCTGCGACTCCACTTTCAAGGTTACTTATTTAGCCTGACTAATGTGTCAGTATGGGTGACATACCTTAGGCATCAATGGCCGATCATTTTGAAAAGGACCAATTCATTTGGGTCTGGAGCTGAGACATGTACTTAAGTACATAAGAAATAGGAGTAGCACTAGACCATTCAGCTCCTTGAGGCTGTTCTACTATTCAATAAAATCATAACTGATCTTTGCCCTCAACTCCACTTATTCAGATAATGCAACAGAATAAACTGATGGTGTAATGTTAATTTATGGAAGTTACATCGCAAATTTAAAAGCTAAGAAATTTTACTTGAAATATTAATTTAAGACAATGTTCAAATGTAAACATTTCAAAGACAGTAGCCACAACAATACAGAGAGAAACTACTTAGTTGAGCTTTTCAACTTTCAAACCATTCATTTTTGACAAAAAAAGTTTATTGAGAGCAATGGGAAGTAATTTTATCAAGCTTGTGCTGTTAACTAAAATTCATTCATGAATTTGCACTAGCAAGTTATCATTGCACATAAACAAGATCAATTCACTTTACTGATATTCCTGGTAGGACCAGAAAGAAGGTTCTACTGAAACAGAACAGATTTGAACAGTTAGGAGCCAATTTAGAAAACAGAACCTCAAAGGCAACAATAATCTCAAGATTACTACGAGTGATTGGGAAAACTGACACAGGGTAGATAAAATCAAGGAGCTAAATGCGTGGCTCAAGGACTGGCGTGGGTGGAATGGGTTTCTGTTCACAGGGACTGACAAAGGTACTGGGATAGAAGGAAATCATTCCTGTTGGATGGGCTTCACTTGAAATATGAGGCTGATGAGAAGTTTTTTAATAAATTGGGTGGGAGGTGTGTTCAGGAGATGTGAAACACATGATTACAAAGTTAAATAATATGGCAGCATTGCAGGGGTAATGATATCAAGAGGGTGACATAGGGCCAATATGCAAGCATTAAAAAAAACAGCAAATAGGGTCAAGGGAAGGGAAAAAAAACAGAATTTATGGCTCTTCATTTAAATGCACATAGCATTTAAAACAAACTTTGGAACCTAGCAGTTAATGAGATGCAATAAGTATGATAGTGAGAAACTATCTTAGATCTGAAGATATAGAATCCATATGGGTGCAGGTAAGGGCAACGAAGAGAAGAAAACAAATGTTGGGAGTAATCCATAGGCATCCTGTAGGAGATAATGAGGGCATGTAAAAAAGACATAATATTAATGATGGGTGACTTTAATCCTAATGTTGATCTGGAAAATCAAATTGGCAGAGGCAACCAAAAGGAAGAATTCATTGAGAGTATTCAGCACAGTTTCCTAGAAATATATGTTGTGGATCCATTCAGGGATTAGGCTATTTTGGATCTGTTAATGTGTAATTGGAAAAAGTGGCCATGCATAACATGGCGGAATTTTGCAATCAATATACGGGAGTCAGAATCAAATGTTGGAAACAACTGTGTTAAACCTAAATAAAGGCATTTAAAAAGGAATGAAGCCAGAGTCATCTGAAATGGACCGGGAAAGGGGTTAGCTGAAAAGATAGTTGAGAAACAACGGGACACGTTTAAGAACACAGTTCATGATTCAAAACAAAGATAGATCTCTGAGGAAGTATGATTCTAGGAAGGGATACACCGACCACGGTCAACAAGGTAGTTAAGGATAGTATCAAATTGAATGCAAATACATAAAATGTGGCAAAAATGTTAGTGGTAAACCAGAAGATTGGGAAGGTTTTGAAAAAACAACAAAAGATGACCCAAAATATAACAAAGAGGGAGAAAATTGACTTAGTCGGTAAACAAGCAGGTAATATCAAAATGAACATCAAGCACTTCTTCAAATATACAAAAAACAATTGAGAGGCCAAAGTGAACATGGTCCCCTTAAAGAATAAGGCCGGAAAAATAATACTGGGGATCCAACAAATAGCAAAGGGACTGAATAAATACATTGCATCAGTTGTCATAGTCGCAGACTTTAATAGCATTCCAAAAATACTAAATCATGCAGTAAAATGTGAGGAGGAAACAAATACAATAACAACATTAGAAAAAAAGTAGGGAATCTAAAGGCATTTAAAGCCGATAAGTCCCCTGGACCTAGTGTGTTGCATCATAAGATTTTAAAGGAAATAACTACAAAGATAGTTCACGCAATGGTAGTAATCTTCCAAAAAATCTTAGATTCAAGAAAACATTGCAGACAAAAACTACCACTATAACACCCTTATTCAAAAAGGGAAGGAATCAAAAACAGGTAATTATAGAGTAGTTGGTTTAACATCTGTCACTGGGACCAAAAAAGTGGAATTGAGGATTAACAGATCATCTATAATCTCATTAATGGAAAAGCAGACTTGATGGGCCAAATGGCCTACTCCTGCTCTCACATCTCATGGTCTTCAGAAGAAGCAGTGACTTTTTAAAAACATTACTGCTTCCAAACAATGCTAAGGTCTTTTTCTTAATGAACGTATTTGAACTGACACTAGAGAAAGCAAATCTCTAAAGAAAATTCTCTTGTGGATTTCAGTGCATGGCGAGGTGAGGATTGGAGAGTTGAACAGCAAGTTTCCCACTGTTAAAGTATTCTGAGAAGAAAGACCACAATTCTGAGAAGAAAGACCACAGCTCACAGATCTGAGTGACTTAACGAGTTCAACCTTGGCAAGTGGATACTCACATTCATTGCGAGGATGCTGCGCGGGATCAGCTCACGGTGCTGCCGGATGTTAAAATGCCAGGTCTTAATTCTCATCATATCATCAAACATGAACTCCAGGTATAACCGCCCCTCCACGCACACCTAAAAATACAATCATTGGAGAGACAAATAACAATGGCACATGTGTCTATTCCAACAGGATACTGCACAGCATAGCTGCAGCTTCATTATAAATCATTTCACCGCACCCTTAGTTTTTCTTATTCATGAGACATCACTGGCAAAGCCAACATTTGTCATGAGCTAGAGTTGCTCTTGGTAAGGTATTGATGGGCCTGGAAATAATTTACCTACCTTTTTATAAGGATGTTGCACAACACAAAGAAAGCAAAGGAAGGATCAGAAAAATTCCCCAGACCTCACCTCTGCAAATTCAGCTATGGGATCAGGGTTTGCCTCCAGCATCTCTAGTTTAGGTGGAAATCCAACTTGTTTATTTGATGGAAGTAGAGTTGCCAACTTTAACTGAATGTACTTGTTGAGATTTCATCACAAGTTTTCCGGTTAATCAAAGTGCGATATCTGTGCAATATTTAAAGATGCCCTTGGCCCAGGAGTCAGGATGTGGAATCAGCTGGAAATGAGGAATAGCATGGGAAAGGCGTCACTAACGGAAGTGGTCAGCAGGGCCCCAAACAGTAGCCACAATGTGGGTCAAAGTAGACAAGAAGAAATGTGTTTTTGATAAAAGGACATTAGGAATCATGGGTGAATTTAATCTACATATAATCTGGAAATATCAGATTGGCAATAGCAACCTGGATGCAAAGTTCATAGAATGCTTTCAAGCCAATTTCTTAAAGCAACACATTTTGGAACCAACCAGAGTGCAAGTCACATTAGACTCGGCATTGTTTAATGCCAGAGGATTCATTAAAAACCAAAGACAACCCTAGGTAACAGCAAACACAATATGATTGAAGTTTACATCTGGCTAGCATTTTAAAATTAAATAAGGGTAACTATATGGGCATGAATGCTGAGCAAGCTGAAGTGAACAGGTATACTGGGCTAGGGGACAGACTAATTGAGACGCAGTGGCAGAAAAAGTACATTCCTACCATAAAGAAAAATTCTAAAAGGGAGGATTCATCGTGAACTAAAAAAATTAGGCAAAACACAAAACTTAAGAAAAAAGCAAAGATGAGTCAAACGTCAAATGACTGGTAAGAATATAGAGAACAGCAAAGAATGACTAAACGTTCAATCAAGAGGAGATTGGATATAGGAAGAAACTAGCTAGGAGTGTAAAAATAGATAGCAAGATTTTCTGTAGGGATCTAAAGAGTGACAATAGTAAGTTAAGAATAAATAATAAGGAAATGGCAGATGAAATGAACAAACATTTTGCTTCTGCTTTCTATAGAGAATACTCCTATTCCAGTAATAACTATTAAACAAATTTGGAAGAAAGGGAGTTAGTGAAACTATAATGACAGGGGAAGTGGTACTAAACAAACTTAAAAAGCTGTGGCGTCACAAGTCTCTGAATGCAAATACACCTCATCCTGGGGTCTTAAAAGAGGTTGCTAATAAGGTAGTTAAATTTCCAAAATTCCATAGATTTAGGAAACTGAAGGTTGCACTGGAAAAATAGCAAATATAATCACTCTAATCAAGAAAGGAGGAAGACAGAAGATAGAAAACTGAAAACTATAGTTCAGTTAGCTTGATGTCCATAATGGGTAGGTGTCAGACAAGATTTTTAAAGAGATTACAGCTGTGCATTTACAGAAAGGTTAGCATGGTTTTTTCAAAGGGAAATCATCGTTAGACAACTTATTGGAACCGACGAGGGAGCAAGCTATCCTAGATCTGGTCCTGTGTAATGAGACAGGAATAATTATGACCTCATAGTTAGGGATCCTCTTGGAAGGAGTGATCACAGTATGGTTGAATTTAGAATACAGATGGAGAGTCTGAAGATAAAATCCAATACCAGGGTCCTGTGCTTGAACAAGGGGAACTACAATAGAATGAGGGAGGACTTGGCTAAAGTAGACTGGAAAAAAGACTTTATGGTGGGACAGTTGACGAGTAGTGGAGGACTTTCAAAGCAATTTTTCAAAGTGTTCAGCAAAAGTATATTCCAGTGAAAAGGAAGGACTGTAAGATTGGGGGTAATCTGCCATGGGTGTCTAAAGAAATAAGGGAGGCTATCAAATTGAAAGAGAAGGCATACAAAGTGGCCAAAAACAGCATGAAACCAGAAGATTGGGAAAACTTTAAAGGTCAACAGAAAGCCACAAAAAGAGCTATAAAGAAAAGTAAGATAGAACATGAGAAAAAACTAGCACAGAATATAAAGACAGATAGCAAAAGTTTCTATAAATATATAAAACGAAAAAGAGTGGCTAAAGTAAACGTTGGCCCTTTAGAGGATGAGAAGGGGAGTTTAGTTATGGGATATGATGAAATGGCTGAGGCATTGAACAGGTATTTTGTATCGGTCTTCACAGTGGAGGACACTAATAACATGCCAGTAATTGACAAAGAGACAAAGGTAGGTGAGGACCTGGAAACAATCATTATTACGGAAGAGGTTGTGTTGGGCAAGCTAATGGAGCTAAGGATTGATAAGTCTCCTGGCCCTGATGGAATGCATCCCAGGGTACTAAAAGAGATGGCGGGAGAAATAGCAGGTGCACTGGCGGTAATTTTCCAAAATTCGTTGGACTCGGGGGCAGTCCCAGCAGATTGGAAAACAGCAAATGTGATGCCACTGTTTAAAAAGGTAAGTAGACAAAAGATGGGGAATTATAGACCGGTTAGCTTAACCTCTGTAGTGGGGAAGATGCTTGAGTCTATCATCAAGGAAGAAATAGCAAGGCATCTTGATTGAAATTATCCCGTTGGGCAGACGCAGCATGGGTTCAGGAAGGGCAGGTCATGCTTGACAAATCTTTTGGAATTCTATGAAGACATTACGAGCAAGGTGGACAATGGGGACCCAGTGGATGTGGTGTACCTAGATTTCCAAAAGGCCTTCGACAAGGTGCCGCACAAGAGGCTACTGCATAAGATAAGAATGCATGGCGTTAAGGGTAAAGTATTAGCATGGATAAAGGATTGGTTGACTAACAGGAAGCAAAGAGTGGGGATAAATGAGTGCTATTCTAGCTGGCAGTCAGTGACTAGTGGTGTGCCTCAGGGATCGGTGTTGGGACTGCAATTATTTATAATTTATATAGATGATTTGGAGTTGGGGACCACGTGTAGGCTGTCAAAGTTTGCAGATGATACTAAGATGAGTCGCAGAACAAAGTGTGCAGAGGACTGTGAAACTTTGCAGAGGAACATAGATACATTGAGTGAGTGGGCAAAGGTCTGGCAGATGGAATACAATGTAAATAAATGTGAAGTCATACATTTTGGTAGGAGTAATAGTAACAAGGATTATTACTTGAATGGTAAAAAGTTGCAGCATGCTGCTATGCAGAGGGACCTGGGTGTCCTTGTGCATGAATCACAGAAGGTAGGTCTGCAGGTACAACAAGTAATTAGGAAGGCAAATGGAATTTTGTCCTTCATTGCTAAAGGGATTGAGATTAAAAGCAGAGAGGTTATGTTGCAGCTGTACAAGGTGCTGGTGAGGCCACACCTGGAGTACTGTGTACAGTTTTGGTCTCCTTACTTGAGAAAGGATGTACTGGCACTGGAGGGGGTGCAAAGGAGGTTCACTAGGTTGATTCCGGAGTTGAGGGGGTTGGTTTATGAGGAGAGACTGAGTAGATTGGGATTATATTCATTGGAATTCAGAAGATTGAGGGGGGATCTTATAGAAACATGTAAAATTATGAAGGGAATAAATAAGATAGAAGTAGAGAGGATGTTTCCACTGGCAGGTGAAGCTAGGACAAGAGGGCATAGCCTCAAGATTAGAGGGAGCAGATTTAGGACTGAATTGAGAAGGAACTTCTTCACCCAGAGGGTTGTTAATCTATGGAATTCCTTGCCCAGTGAAGTAGTTGACGCTACTTCAGTAAATGTTTTTAAAGATAAGGTAGATTTTTTTTGAACAATAAAGGAATTAAGGGATACGGTGAGAACGCGGGTAAGTGGATCTGAGTCCACGAAAAGATCAGCCATGATCTTATTGAATGGCGGAGCAGGCTCGAAGGGCCAGACGGCCTACTCCTGCTCCTAGTTCTTATGTTCTTATTGGAGCGCTTTGAAGGAGTATATGAGTATCTACTTGCCAAGATGCTGTGGCTAAAGGGAAGCTTGTAGCTGTACTATACTTGATTGCCAGAAAGCATTTGATAAGATGCTACATCAAAGGTTATTGTCAAAAGCAAATGCTAATAGTTAGGGGGTAACATATTAGCACGCACAGAAGGTTGACGGGCTGTCAGAAAACAGAGGAAATGCATAAATGAGTCTTTGATGGCAGACGAGATGTGATGAGAGCTCTATGATGGAGCTTCAACTTCTTACAATTTACATCAATGACTTAGATGAGGTAGCAAAAGCACACATAATGGCTAAATTTGCAGATCACACCAAGCTAGGTAGGAAGGTATATTGTGAAGGAGACATATGGAAGTTGCAGACAGATATAGAAAGGTGGAGTGAGTGGGCAAAAATCTAGCAGATGGTGTATAATGTGGGAAAAAATGAAGTTGTTCACTTTAGCAGGAAGAATAAAAAAATGCAGAGTATTACTTAAAAGAGAATGTCTGCAGAATTCCATTGCGCAAAGGGATTTAGATATTCTGTTGTATTAGTCATGAAGTTTTAGTGCACAGGTACAGTACATAATCAAGAAGGCCAGTAGGATGCTATCCTTTATTATGAGAGGAACTGAAAGGATGTTATGCTTCAGTGAAACAGGATTTTGGTGAAACCACATCTTGAATACTGTGTATAGTTTTGGTCCCCTGGACAATACATCCTCGCACCCCGCTTCCTGTAAAGAGTCCATCCCACTCTCAGTTCTTCCGTCTCCGTCACGTATGTTCAGATGAGGCCAATTTCAACAAGGGAGCCTCCGAAATGTCCATCTTCTTCCTCACCCGATGATTTCCCAGCACCATTGTCGACGGGGCCCTCAACTGGGTCCAACCCATCTCCCGTACTTCCGCCCTCACCCCTTCTCTTCCCTCCCGCAATAGCGATAGGGTACCCCTTGTCCTTACCTACCATCCCACCAGCGTCCATATCCAGAAGATCATCAGACACCATTTCCACCATCTGCAGTGAGATGCCACCACCAGACACATACTCCCCTCCCCTCCCTGTCCGCTTTCCGCAGGGAACATTCCCTCTGGGACACCCTGGTCCACGCTTCCTTCACCCTTCCACAGTCCCACAGCACCTTCCCTTGCAGCTGGTGAAGGTGCAACACCTGCCCACTTACCTCCTCCCTCTCCACGATCCAAGGGCCCAAATATACCTTCCAGGTGAAGCAACACCTCACCTGCACGTCCTAGAATCTAGTCTGCTGCGTCCACTGCTCACAGTGCGGTCTCCTCTACATTGGGGAAACGAAGCATAGACTGGGTGACCACTTCGTAGAACATCTACATTCTGCTCACAAAAAAAGACCCTGAACTACCCGTTGCCTGCTACAATAACGCAGCACCCTGTTCCCCGGCCAACATCTCTGTCTCTGGCTTGTTGCAGTGTTCCAGCGAAGCTCAGTACAAGCTAAAAGAACAACACCTCATTTTCAGCTTGGGGAGCCTGCAGCCCTCCAGACTCAATATCGAGTTCAATAATTTTAAAGCCTAAACTCTCCCATGTCCTAGCCCCCTACCCCACACACCAGGCCTTGTTATCACATAGCCTGCCATTACACACTACCTATTGTCAGTCACTACCAGTCCCCATTAACAACTATTCACCCTCCTAGCCAGATTGTTATCAACTCCTTTGTCTATCCAACTGCTCTTCTCTCTCTCGGGTTCTATCCTATCATTTACTGCATATAAACCAACGTTTTCCCAGCCACCATCAGTTCTGAGGAAGGGTCATCGGACCACAGAGCTGGATAAATTGATGTTAAACTGAAGGGCTATTGGGAGTAGGTGGGAATATGAAATTCAAAACACAAACAGATCAGCCATTATCTTATTGAATGGTAGGCCAGGTTCAAGGGGTTGAATGGTCTTCCTTTGCTCCTGTTTTGAATATATGTTCATATGGATGTATGCCTCCAACTTCCCTCCTCCCCACTGAGCAAGCAAAGTATTTTTGTTGGAGATGGGGAAAAGTGTTCGACGAGATGTTTGTTGCAATGTTGCTATGATTTTCTGGGTTGCTTGCAACAGTGTCCAGGGCACAACTTTCTATTGTGAGGGACTCCATGGAATACTGGAGGGATAGCAAGCTTAACTGCAGGAATCTAAACACTGAATTATAACAGCATCACTGCAGTTCTTAATGCAGATGAATGAACAGCACAGAATAGATCTAAGTTAGCATTACTCTTCACAAAGTCACAAATATAAGGATTATATACCCAAAATAGGGAATAGTGTTCATGCCACCAGTGCAGGAGTTCCCCTGAGCTGCTGCAACGTCAAATAATTCAGCCTGCCTCATTTCACAAGGCGAAATCCCTGTCTAGAGATACAGGAGAGACACAAACTCGTCCCCACCGGACAAAAATAGCAAATTAGGACTCAGCTCCTCCCACCTTCGTATCACAGAGCTCAAATGTATGGGTCCTTGGGCTACAAGGTTTGTTTTCTGAGTCAGGCCATACCTTAGTGAACATGGGCTTCCCGTGTTGTGTCACCATTGTACACTGGTCACAGTCCAATGATACAAAATTATTATGGAATGATTCCTTTGGATGTTTGAGGACGTAGTACAGGTCAGTTGCTCCTCCCTCGAAGATACTGCGGAAATAGCGTGGGATCAAAGTCCGGCCAATTGCTGTGAGAAAATTGGAAGAAATAGAAATTAACATTTGATATGTAGGTAGCTATCTTCCTCTGCTGCCAGCCTTCCTTCAGCGCTTTACCCATTCACCATAACAGAATCTGTCAAACAAGAGGTTTTTTGTTTTAATTCATTCATACGACATGGGTGTCACTGGCTAGCCAGCATTTATTGCCCGTACCTAGTTGCCCTTCAGTAGGTAGTGGCGAGCTGCCCCCTTGAATAACTTTAGTCTGTGGGTTGACCCACAATATTGCTAGGGAGGGAATTCCTGGATTTTGACTGTGAAGGAAAGGCAATATATTTCCAAGTCTGGATGTAACTGACTTGGAGGGGAACTTGCAGGTCGTGCTTTGCTGCCCTTTTCCTTCGAGTTGGAAGTGGTCATGGGTTTGGAAGGTGCTGTCTAAGGATTTTTGGTGAATTTCTGCAGTGCATCTTGTAGAAAGTACACACTGCTATTACTGAATGTTGACGGTGGAAGGTGTGTATGTTTATGGCTGTGGTGCCAAGCAAATGGGCTGCTTTGTCCTGGATAGTGTGAAGCTTCTTGAGTGTTGTTAGGACTGCACTCATTCAGACAACTGGGGAGTATTCCATCACACTCCTGACTTGTGCGTTGTAGATGATAGACAGGCTTTGGGGAGTCAGGAGGTGAGTTACTCGCCACAGTATTCCTAGCCTCTGACCTCCTCTTGTAGCCACTGTGTTTACGTGGTGAGTCCAGTTGAGTTTCTGGTAACCCCAATGATAACCCCAAAGATGTTGACAGTGGGGTCTCAGTAATGGTAATACCTTTGAATATTAAGGGACAGTGGTTAAATTGTCTCATTGAATGTTAAGGGGAGGTGGTTAGATTGTCTCTTACTGTTGATGGTCATTGCCTAGTATTTGTGTGGCATGAATATTACTTGCCAATTGTCATCCCAAGCCTGGATATTGTCCAAATCTGGTTGCATTTGAACAGTATCTGAGGAGTCAGGAATGGTGCTGACATTGCCCAGTCATCGGCAAACACCCCCACTTCTGACTTTATGATGGAGGTTGCATTTCCACAGAGCCATTCATGTACTTTGCAGGACTTCACAAACAGGCAAGTTAATTTCTGAAGTACAGCTGTTGCTGTGATGTGAGAAATTAGCAGCCAATTTGTCCACAGCCAGTTCTCTCAGACAACAATGAGATCAATGACCACATAAGCTATTTTCCTGTCATGCTGGTTGAGGGATAAATACTGGCCAGGTCACCAGGGATATTTCCCCTGTACTTCTATGAAACAGTTTCATGTCATCTTACAACATCTATCCAAGAGCCAGACAGGACCACAGTTAAATGACTCATCCAACAGACAGCATGTCTAACACTGCAGTACTCCCCCAAAATTTGCATGTTCCTGCAGAGTTATGGGATGGTGATCAGCGGCAGAAAAACATTGGTGGAGTGGATTTATTTTCATATCCAAGGCAAATCATTGAATTCAGTGGAAATCAGGAACGGAATCTAATAGTGTCCTGATCGGAGAAGATGCCTCCATCTCTTAAGTCATCAGAAATTTGCAAATATTTCAATTTTTTAATTTGATACTGGAAGAATTTGCTCTCAAGACAGAATCCAGCTAGACCAGTGTGAAACTTTGTATCCAATGATGATGTAGGAGCTCACTATTGGTGTCATCAAAAGTGCAGAGCATGGCATCAGGAAGGGGAGGGAAAGAACATTTTAAGGAAATAAACCAAGGAACTACTTCACTTACTGTATCGCTTTGGCCCATCTTCCAAACAGAAGGTGATGGTTAACATGGCATCATCTTCAAAAAACTCCGTGGTAAAGGCATCCCACCAGAGATTGTCACATTCCTGAAGAAAGCATTATTCAGTTAGACTAGAATGTAAGAAAGGAGACACAGAAAGATACAGTATGAAAATGAAGAACAAAATGAATGAGAGGTAACCAAAGGAAAGAATAAGAAACAACAAATAAGAAAGGAACAAAGTAAGTATGAGAATAAGGAGAAAGAATGAGTGAGCGAAAGATGAGAGAAAACAAGAGGAATGTTGAGAGGCAGAAAGAGAGGAGAAGATCGATAAAGATGGTACAAGAGAGACAGAGAGGGGACAAAGAGTGAGACGGAGGGAGGATAAGAAATATTGTGTGAAAGACAGCATGAAACAATGAGATGAATTAGGTGAAAGATTGATTGAGTAAGAGAGGCAGATGCATCATCTCATCCCAAGTTACTGAAAGTCATAGCCAGAATGCACTGATGTTAAGAACCGTCACTATTGCCCTAGTTTCTCTGCAAGTTGACTGATATAGCTCATTGAAACATAAAAATTTCTAAAAATGACTAATAGAGTTGCTGTTGGATGAATGTTATCCCTGACTTGGGAGTCCTAAAGTGGGCTGGGGGTGGGATGGAGTAGTTCAAAATGAAAGTTGATCACTTAAAATAAATAGAAGTGTCTTCACTCCTTCATAATTGTAGTGGTTGAACAGGAGATTCAGAGAGTCTCCTGACTTCAGTGACTGACTCCGAGCTGGCTGGTCACAACCAGTGTACTGTCCATGTAAATAAAGGGTGACTTGGTGATGGGATACCAGCCTCTGTGCGGTTATTTCAATGATATTACGAAATAGTGTGTAAGCTAAAAGGCTGGAATAGCCTGCTCCTGCTTCTTGTATTCTTATATCATTTTCATGCTAGCGCTATTCTTCAATCTCTGATTTTCAAACCCAGTGTCACCTGCTGAGCTCTGATCTTGGACAATATTTTTCTAGCTGGGATTCAGCCCATTTCCTTCCCCTTCATGAAAATGTTTTCCAAATGCCTTCTTCAACAAACACTCACCAAAGTGAAACCTAACAGTCAGGAATTTGCATCAGTCAGTTGTCAGGATGCAGAATATACTTGAACAGCTTCTTATAAATTCACCACAAGCTTGCATTACTATTGAAATATTTCATACTGAGAAGTTCCAAGTTGATCTCATCAGTCACATGGTTTAAGGAAAGACAAATAAACACACAAGAAGAAATTTGCAAAAGGACATGCTAAAAAGGTCAGACACACAGTAGGTGTGTGGGAGGCTTATGTGGTTCATAAGCATGAGCATCAATAGGCCTGTTTCAGTGCTGCAAATACTCTAAATTCTAGATGAGGGGCAGTGAAAAGAGTAGCCCCAGCTCAATTCCAAGTAAAAGCAAAGTTAATTACTCTCAGCAGAGCAAGGCTGAATGATATTGTTAAACAGAGCATCATGGATTAGAAGCTAGGAGAAAAGTCAAGAGAGGACATTACATTCCTGATTCCTGTGGCCCAGCAATAGATACCACTGGCATACAGGGATTTTTACTCTATACATAACCTCGTGCTGGAGTGTTTGACAGGGACAGTTCAGAAGAGCTTTAACTCTATCAACCCTGGTGTACTTGTCCTGGGAGTGCTCTATGGTACAATGTAGAGCGAAGTTTACCCTGTATCTAACCTCGTCTTTACTTACCCTGGAAGTGTTCAATATTGACACCAAGTATCAGATATGGAAAGTGTAACTTTCTACCACACAAAAATTCCTTCCATTAATAAGCAGAATTACCTCTGCCCAGTTCTGCAAACGTTTGTTGAGCTCGAATATCCTGTAGTCAGTTTGATTCATGTAAGGTGTGTGTCTCCTGTTAAAAGAAAAGAACAATTGTTGAACAAAGCACTTCATTCATAATAAATTAGCTTTTCTTCCATGTGTGATTATGTCTTAAACTCAGGGGGACGTGTGCTCAGATCGAAGACCAAATATCGCAGACATTCTTAAAGAATGTTCAGTTTTATTTGGCTTCCCATATGTTTCTCTGTCCTTTCCTTTTTTAAATTCATTATTTGGATGGGAACATCACTGGCGAGGCTAGCATTTATTACCCATCCCTAACTGCCCTCAAGAAGATGGTATTGAAGTGCTTTCTTGCAGTCCACCCCAGTGCCTTTCTCTGTAGCTGCTTGATTCAACTCAGTAGCTTGAATGTCTGTTTCAAAGGGCAGTTAATAGTTAAAACTGCTGTCAAATAAGAGTTATCAGACCAGGAAGGGACAGCAGATTTCCTCCGTTGAAGAACATTAGTGAACCAGATTAGTATTTACAACAATCTGGTTATTAATGCTCATTAATAATGAGTAGATTTTTATTCCAGATTATATAATTACACTTAAATTCTTTCACCTCCCCCCTCTAACAGGGCAAGGTGGCCATGCGCAGCTGAGGTTCCAAAGTGTTTTTGCCTCCGAGAATAACAAAATAATCCACTAATGTCAACAGGGCGTATGGCAACAAATGAATTACAGAACCATTGGTCTTTATCTACTTGGTCCAGTTTCCATTAACCAAATATCTCATGTTGTTCTGATCCCAGATGATGGCAACGCCTATCAAGTCAGTTCCCAGAACAAAACCTGGCTTGATAGATTGTATAAATAATTTTTACATTTAAATAGCATGGTGGTTTCTCATAAAATATATATACCTCTGGCTGCAAATATGGAAAACAGGTCTCAATGCAAACAAAGTTTCAATCTGTTTCCCAACAGCATCCTTTACAGAGCTAAATTCCAGAGAAACATCGATCCTATCTCAGCTTGTTCAATCTTTACTTAACTGACCCTTTTCTATTTCTTTCCACCGAACTGCTGAGGCCTTTACTCTTATGATGTGGAGATGCCGGTGCTGGATTGGGGTGAACAAAGTCAGAAGTCAGACAATACCAGATGATAGTCCAACAGGTTGCAACTGTGATACCTATCATGTTGTTCCAGCCATTTGGTTTATCTCTAACACCATCTTATTTTTGATTTCTGTAATTATCTCTCTGCCTTAATTAATTAGTTCATAGATCATTGCTTCACTTACTATTCAGCTGTTGATACTTTACTCACACCGTTTGACCCTATTGATCAGCTGCAAAGACTTGTTAATCAGCCTGTCAATACTCTACTCACACTATTTGTTATTATCTGTTGACACCTTAATTACCTGGAATTATATTACTATTATCTCTCCACCCATATATTCTGTGCCCATGTGCTTCCCTCCACTTCAGCTGATGAAGCAGCAGCACTCTGAAAGCTGGTGATTTCAAATAAACCTGTTGGATGATAACTGGTGTTGTGTGACTTCTGACTTTATTCGTATGATTTCTTACCAAGTCCACTGATATAAACTTTTCATAATTCTGACGGTCTAAACTTTCTCACTTCTAACAACTTGAAGATTTCTGGTAGACTAATTAGTAAAGTTAGATCACACAGGATTCAGGGAGAGCTTGCCAATTGTATACAAAATTGGCTTGATAGTAGGAGGGTTGGCGATAGAGGATTATTCTTCCGACTGGACGCTTGTGAACAGCAGTGTTCCACAGGGATCAGTGCTGGGTCCACTGTTGTTTGTCATTTATATAACGATTTGGATGACAATTTTAGGCAGCACAGTTAATAGGCTTGCGGATAACAGTTGGGAAGGCAATGGCCTAGTGGTATTATTGCTGGACTGTTAATCCAGAGAGCCAGATAACGTTCTGGGGACCCAGGTTCAAATCCTGCCACGGCAGATGGTGGAATTTGATTTCAATAAAATATCTGGAATTAAGAATCTAATGATGACCGTGAATCTATTGTCGATTGTCGGAAAAACCCGTCTGGTTTACTAATGTCCTTTAGGAAAGGAAACTGCCATCCTTACCTGGTCTGGCCTATATGTGACTCCAGACCCACAGCAATGTATTTGACTCTTAACTGCCCTCTGGGCATTTGCAGATGGCAACAAATGCTGCCTAGCCAGTGATGCCCTCATCCCATGAATGAATAAAGAAAAAAAAAATCAAGATTGGCGGTATAGTGGACAGTGAAGAAGGTTATCTAAGATTACAAAGAGATCTTGATCAATTGTGTCAATGGGCCAACGAGTGGCAGATGGAGTTTGATTTGGATAAATGTGAGGTGTTGCATTATGACAAGATGAACAAAGACAGGACTTATCCAGTTAACGGTAAAGTTCTGGGGAGTGTTGACAAACAGAGATACCTAGAGGTTCAGGTACATAGTCCTTTGAAAGTTGTGTCACAGGTATACAGGGTGAAAAAGAAAAAGTATCTAGCATGCTTGCCTTCATTGGTCAGACCACTGAATATAGGAGTTGGGACATCATGTTGAGGTTGTACTGGATGTGGTGAGGTCACTTTTGGAGTACTATGTACAGTTCTGGTCACCCTGTTATTGGAATAATATTATTAAATGGGAGCAGGTGCAGTAAGCCAGGATTGGAGGGTTTGAGATATGGCAAGAGGCTGGGGTTTTTTTTCCCTGGAGCGTCAGAGGCTGAGGGATGACCTTATAGAAGTTCATAAAGTCATGAAGGGCATGGATAGGATGAACAGCCAAGGTCTTTTTCCCAGGGTAGGCTAGTCCAAAACTAGACAGCATACATTTAAGATGAGAGGGGTAAAGTTTAAAAGGGACATGAAGGGCAATGTTTTCACACAGATGGTGGTGCATATATGGAACAAGCTGCCAAAGGAAGTGGTGGAGGAAGGTACAACATTTAAAAGGTATCTGGATGGGCACATCAATAGGAAGGGTTCAGAGGGTATGAGTCAAATACTGGCAAATGGGACTGGATCAGTTTAGGATATCTGGTCGGTGCAGACGAATTGAACCAAAAAGTCTGCTTCCATGCAGTATAACTCTAAGACTCTATGACAGACTTGATAGATATGTTTTGCTACATAACGGAATCTGCCAGGGTATATATTTCCTGATCATCACCATTGCTGGAAACTATACATTGTGGGAATGAGAGTTCATGTGCGTCTCACTTTTGTTTTTAATTCATTCATGGAATATGGGCATTGCTGGCCAGACTAGCATTCATTAACCATCCTTAATTACCCAGAAGGCAACTGAGTATCAACCCATTGCAGTGGGTCTGGAGTCACATGTAGGCCAGACCAGATTAGCAGTTTCCTTCCCTAAATGACATTGGTGATCCAGATGGGTCTTTACAACAATTGACAACAGTTTTGCAGCCAACATTAGAGACTTTATTCCAGATTTTTATTGAATTCAAATTCCACTATTTATCATGGCAGGGTCTCTAGGATAGTACCCAAGTGTCTGGATGAATAACACTAGGCTATCACCTGCCCTTGCTGTTTATGGAGTTAGTATACGATGAATTCAAACAGCTTTCAGTTCTACTGAACTGATATACTTTTAACAGAAATGAAGGAATGGCAATATCACTCATCCATGTCTGCAGGTCCTGGATAGGTCACTTGGTCACTTTATTGTCGGAAAGTAATTGAAAATCTTAAGTTGTCCACATAATCATGATAACACCATCATTGGGAGAGAATGATATGAAATCATGTGTGCCTTCTTGACTCCACGTTATCTAAGCCAGAAGAATTGTTTATCCTTGATGTATTGTAGTTTAGTGTTAACATGCATGAAATATAGAGATTAAAGGTAAAATTGGTTCAAGCATTTAAGTAAACCACTGTTTGCTAAAATCATATTGAAATTGTAGAGCATGGTATGTGACATAGTGCATCATGAACTCAATGGTAAGGAATTATATAACTGTATGGAATCATATTAAATGGTTTGTCTGAGTACTATTAAAAAATGAACATGAACTAATTAAATATAAAGATCTAATACTGCCATTGTTACTTTAAACAAGGATTTCTTACAATGAATGAAATATAAACAGGACAGCTGTCTAACTCCAAAGTAAGCATTGTGTGAAGAAAGGATTATGGCTCTGTCTGCAATGATCTCGGTAGTTAAATAGTTTCTGATACACATAGTTCTTGGGTCAGTGCTGTGACAATGGGAAGTCAAGCATATTGATAGATTTTGATTCAAGTATGGAGACTCTGAGCTCTGTATGTGCCAATACAAGATCCATCCAACTGATGGTCAAACTATTATTACAATTTTGCCACTTACCCAATACCAGGCTCCAGGTACGTCGGAGGATACATTGGTGTCGGACTGTTAAGAGGAAGAGGAAGAGAAAGGAAATAGGATAGTTTAAAGTACAGCTGGATCCACTTTTCATCCTCAACAATATAACAGCCCCCTACTCCCATACCACAGCAACTTGTCAAAGTTTCTTCAGACAAAGTTTTCAAAAACCTGTGACCTCAACCATTGAGAAGGACAAGGGCAGTAGACATACAAGGACACTGTTGGCTTCTCAAAAGTAATGTAGGGATTGGTGATAAATAATGGCCGAGCCAGTGAAGCCCACATCCTGCAAATCAATAAAGAACAGGAACTTTTATTGCTCAAGAATATCAAAGTCCCAGAATTTCTCTAATTGGAAAACTTTACTCAGACATTGCAGCATTGGTTCAAGACAGCATTGCATGGGGAATTTCATTTGCAGAGTTTCTCATCTCAGTACAACTTCCATGACAAGGCTAAATTACAGCGAATGTGTTGTGCATTGAGACAGAATGTTTCAGTTTCAGTTCCATTTTCCTGGAAGAGATGGTGTTTTCTACAACATTGCTTGCTTTTGAATGCTCTCCAAAATATTAGTTATTTCACACAGCACACTGGAGAAGCATCAGACAATCACATTTTTGTTGAAGGTGCCACTTCTGGTTGAGTGCTTTGTGGTACCCATAATGACCGAACATACAATAGCACTACCAACTGGCTTTTTTTTTTTTTAAAATGATATTACCATTCAAACAGAACAGAATCAAGAGAAACTTACTGCACAGAGGAGGCCATTTGGCCCATCATGCCTTCTGTTTGGAGGAGCAGTTGTGCTCAAGTCCCACAACCCCCTTTTGTCGTTGCCTCTATTAAATTATTTATGGAATCAGTTTTCACCATCTTGTCAGCAAAAACATTCCAGAGGTTGTCAATTCTCTGAATGCAAATAATTTTGCCTCATCTTCCCACTAAGACTTTTTACAAATGGGTTTAAATGTATCATCTCTAGTTAATGGCCCACTCACCCAGACAGAACCTGTCTCTATTCTATTAAGCCCTCTCAGAGGAACGTTCAGTCCCTAGAGTCTTCTCCGCCATTCCAGAACATGGCTGATTATTTACGAACTAAAACTTATTATAAGTAATCAAGGGGCAAAAGGAAAGGAAATAAATGAAATAACTATCACCAGAGAAACAGTGCTGCATAAACTAATGGAGCTGAAGATCGATAACTGGACCTGATGGGATGCACCCAAGAATATTAAAGGGAGTAGCTACAGAGGTAGTGGATGCACTGGTAGTAATCTACCAAGAATCCATAGATTCTGGATAAGTGCCTGAAGATTGGAAAGCTGCCAATGTAACACTTTCATTTAAAAAGGGAAGGAGACCAAAAACAAGCAACTACAGGATTGGCTCTCTAATAGAAAAGTCATAGAATGCAGAAAAAACCCTTCAAGTCTACACTGTCATAACTACCACAAAAGGCGTACTAATCACAATTTCCTGCACTTGTCCCATACCCTTAAATGTTATGACATTTCAACTGCTCATCCAAATATTTCTTATAAAGGTTGTAAAGTTTCTGGCCTCAACTATCTTCCCAGGCAGTGCATTCCAGATTCCCACCACCCCCTGACTGGAAATGTTTTTCTCAAATCACCTTTGAATCTCCTGCCCCTAATCCTAAAACTATGCCTCCTTGTGACTGACCCCTCAATCTTATACACCTCAATCATGTTGCCCCCCCACCCCATCAGTCTTCGCTGCTCTAAAGAAAACAATTCAAGCCTATCTAATCTCTCCTTATAGCTCAATTGCTCCATCCAAGACAACAGTCTCCTCTGTACCCCTCAGGTGCTATCAGATCCTTCCTGTAGTAAGAACTGCACACTGTAGCCCAGCTGTAGCTGAACCAACGCTTTTATAACGCTAACATTACCTCCTTGCTCTTGTACTTTATGCCATGACTGATGAAAGTAAGTGTCCCATATGCCTTCTTAATATTCTATTCACATGCTCTGCTGTCTTCAAGGGTCTGTAATTACCCAAGTTCCCTCTTTTCCTCTTAGCTACCCAGTGTCCTGCCATTTATTAAATACTCCCTCATCTGGTTGTTTCTTCCAAAGTGTATCACCTTGCAGTTATCAGGGTTAAATGCCATCTGCCACTGCTCTGCCCATCTGACAAACCCATCTATTTTCTTCACTATTAACCACCCTACCAACCCTGGTGTCATCTGCAAACTTGCTTATGTTCCCCCCAAATTTTCATCTATATCATTACGTATATAACAAACAATAAGGGTCCCATACTGATCCTTGTGGTACACCGCTGGACACTGGCAGAGAAATGGCATAAGATGGCATCTTCAGGATGGTAACCTGTAACTAGTGGAGTGCCACAGGGATCAGTGGTGGGGCCACAATTATTTACAATGTAAATTAATGACTCAGATGAAGAAAGTGAATGTGTTATAGCTATGTTTATGGATGACACAAGAATAGGTGGGAAGGTAAATAATAAGGATCGCACAAAGAGTCTACAGAAGGATATAGACAGGTTAAATGAGTAGGTAAAACACAGCAGGTGGAATATATTGTAGGTAAATGTTAGTATATGTTCTTTGGCAGGAAGAATAGAGGAGCTGAATATCAGCTAAATGGAAAAAGACTGCAGAAAGCTGTAGCACAGAGAGATTTCTGTGCATTAATGACAAAAGTTAGCATCCAAGTTCAACAGATAATAACAAAAAGAAATGGAACAGTGGCCTTTATTTCAAAGGGATGGTGTATAAAAATAGGGAAGTCTTGCTGAAAGTGTACAAGGCTTGGACCAGTTGGACCACACCTGAAATACTGCAAACAGTTTTGATCCCCTATCTAAGGAATATTAGCATTGGAGCCAGTCTAGACGAAGTTCACTAAGTTAATTCCAAGTATACAGGGATTTCCTTATGAAAGGAGGTTGAGTAGATTGAGCTTGGGCTCACTGGATTTTAGAAGAATGATCGGAGCCCTTATTTAAATAAATAAGATTTTTGCAGGGTTTGACAGGTTAGATGCAGAAAGGTTATTTCCCCTTGAGAGAGTCTAGGACCAGAGGACAAAATCTAAGATAAGAAATCACCCATTTAAGACAGAGGTGGAGACGTTTTACTCTCACAGTGTATTAAATCTGTGGTGTCCTTTTCACAGTGGGCTTTCAATTATATTCAAGGCAGAAATGAACAGTTCTTTAATCAGGAAAGGAATCAAGGGTTTTGGGGATAAGGCAGAAAAGTAGATTCAAGGATTATCAGATCATCCATAAATATCTTGAATGGCTAAGCAGACTCAACAGGCTGAATGGCCAATTTGTGCTCATACATCTTACGGTCACATAGGTATAGATAAAGTAAGTGACTTTGAGTGAACATCCAGCAATCCCAGATGGGAGCAGGGAAGATCCATAAGGTGGTTAAGAATTCATTTTTAATCTTTACGTTATTAGTCAAGGCAGAGAATATAAGAGCAGAGAGGTAATGTCAGAGCTATATAATACACTAGTTAAACCATAACTTGGATATTGCATGAAGTTTTGGTCACCTTAAAATGATGATGCAAAAGAGATGCAATTGCACTCAAGGTTATTAGAGAGGAGATTTACGATGATATTGCAAGGGCTGGAATTTTTTTAAATTAATTCACAAGATGAGGGCATCACTGGCTAGGCAGCATTTATTGCCTATCCCTAATTGCCCAGAGGGTAGTTAAGAGTCAACCAGTTGCTGTGGGTCTGGAGTCACATGTAGGCCAGAACAGGTGAGGATGGCAGTTTCTTTCCTTAAATGACATTAGTGAACCAGATGGGTTTTTCCAACTATGGACAATGAATTCACGGTCATCATTAGATTCTGAATTCCTGATATTTATTGAATTCAAATTCCACCAACTACCATGGTGGGATTCGAACCCGGGTCCACAAAACGTTATCTGGGTCTCTGGATTAACAGTCTAGCAATAATACCATTAGGCCATTGCCTCCCCTATTGCAGCTATATGCAATGGATAGACTGGGATTGTTACCCTTCCAACAGGCAGACTACATACTGAAGAGAGAGCTAACTGAAATGTACACAGCTGTGAATGACCTGGACAGATTCGACGGTAAGGGCCTACTTCTCTTAGCAGAAAAGTCAGTGCCTGGGGGCCATACACTTACAGCAATTGGTAGAATGATTAGAAGGGAGACAAAGAGACGTTTCTTCACCAAGACACTCGCCAAGGTCTGGAACTTGCTGCCCAAAAGTGTAGTGAAAGCAGAAACCCTCAACTCACATAAAAGTTGTCTGAATATTCATTTTAACCCATGATCTCCAGGGCTATGGACCAAAGGCTGGAAAACAGGAGAAGGTTGGGCGGTTTATTCTTTGACTGGCACAGCCACGATGGGCAACGTGACCTCCTTCTCTGCTGTAAATTCTCTAAACGTTCTAAATATACAAACAGGAGTAATGTGCAGGGGTGGGGTGCGGGGTCATTGGGAGCTGGCGGTAGTGTGTGAATTTTGATTTGATTTGATTTATTCTTGTCACATATACCAAGACACAGTGAAAGGAATTGCTCTTTAGGGTGGCCAGCATGGATACAATGGGCTGAATTGCACTCTCCTGTACTATAATGATTCAATAATTTATATATTGCCTTCAGTGTGGACCCCGGAATTGTCCATCATTCTCCAGCTGAGACCTAACTTCTGATCTATAAAATTTTAGTATGATCTCTTTGATTTTGTATTCTATTCCTCCAATTATAAACCCAAGCGACTTAAATGCTTATCAACCACCTTATCAACTTGCCCTGCCACCTTTAAGGATTTGGCAAAATGGTCACCAAAGACAGTGTCTCTTTTATTCTTTTCAAAATTATGCTATTCAGAATGTATGAGCTTTTCAAAATAGTCCCCAAAAGTATGTCACTCTCTACTTCTCCACTCTGAACTCTAACTGCAATTCATGTGCTCATTTCATCATCTTACCTTGTGTTATCCTAAAGCTGCTAACT